ACAAGGTCTCACCATGTTGCCCAGGCTGGTCTCAAACTCCTGAGCTGAAGCAGTCCTCCTGTCTTGGCCTCCCAAAGTGCTGGAGATATGGGCATGTACCACCGCATCCAGCTCAGGGTAGGATTTTTGAAGGGGGAGGAGTTGGGAACCTGCGACCTGGTGCCTGTGAACAACTTGTCCTAACCCAGGTGATGGCAACAGAGTTCCTAGACACTCTGTCCATCTGGAGCCTGGTCTCATTGGAGGGTTGGAGGTGGGGGCTGGGGCATGGCCCCATCCTTGCCCATCCTGGCCAGAGGGAGCAAATGCTTTGCCCTCCCCTCCCCTCAATGTTGCAAGCTTCTTCCTCTTTCTCAGAGGTGGGTGGGGAAGGCTTCCCATCCTGGTAACCTTCTCCCCAAATGTGGGTGGGGTGCCCACATTTCGGGCAAGTGTAGCCTTCTTTGACTTTCTCCACCCAGGTTAGGCAATGCCCCCTTCCTGCCCCCTCCCTCTGGGAGCCTTTTGGTTTCCCTGCCCCTCCCCTCTCCCTGGTAAACAACAACAGCTTCTCTCCCTGCCCAGACCCTTAGCTTCTGGGCTTCTCGCTGACCTTCCTCATCTCTGGGACAAGGTGTGGCCATGGGTCTGAGGGAGCCTGGTATCTCCCTCCTGCAGAGCTGGGGCTGCCTGGTGGACAGAGCTCCTGAGCTTTGGGTAGAAAAGCATGGCAGATAAAAGTATCACATGCCTGGCCTCAGAGATGGAGGCAGCTTAGCCTTTCCTGCTCGCCTGGCCTTAGGGCTGGTGCTGAGGGTGAGGCAGTTCGCAGGAGAGGTGGCAATCCAGGGTCCTCCATTCCTACAGGAGCAGTGGTACAGCCTGGTCCGCTCACACCCTTTTTGTAGGAATCCTTGCTGATGAGGCTTCCTCCTCCCATTCTCCACCAAACAAAGGTGTGGGGTCTCTCTTTCCCCTTCATCCCTTTCCCCAGGTGGGGAGGAGGCAGCACATTAGGTAGCCTGGGTGTGCCCTTTAGAGACCTAGTTGCCTATGGGACCAAAAGAAATCCTTTCCAGGTCACTGTGGGGAGGGTATTTGTCATGCTACAGCCAGGGTGGGAGCCCTAGAGATGGTCCAGCGATTCTCCCCACCCCCTAAACCGGCCCCTGGGGCTTGGTCTCTGAAGACTGGTGTTTACTGTGGAGGTCTGGGATTCTGTGTGCACTACGGGTCAGGGCTATGTGTGTTTTGGGGGTGGGGTCACGGTTGGGCGTGTGTTGGGAAGGGGATTAATGACTTGTGTGTATTGGGTGAGAGGGTTAGAGAGCTGAGTGTGTTTTGGGGGAATTAAATCCAGAGCTGAGGAGGGAGAGTCAGCTTGTCTGTGTGCTGGGGCTGGGAGGGGGTGTGACTTAGGGCATAGAGTGTTTAAAGAGTAGTGGTCTTTGGTTTGGGTTCTTACCTTTCTTCTGGTTTGGAGGGGAGAACTGATCTGCCTTTTTTGTTCACTCTGGGAATTCCATGGGCAAAGGGGTCTGACTGGGGGCTGTGGAGAAGGCATTTAGTGCTGCGTTTAAAACTTGGACACTGGGCTGGGCGCAGTGGCTCATGCCTGTAATCCCAGCACTTTGGGAGGCCAAGGCGGGCAGATGACCTGAGGTCAGGAGTTTGAGACCAGCCTGGCCAACATGGTGAAACCCCATCTCTACTAAAAATGCAAAAATTAGCTGGGCGAGGTGGCATGTGTCTGTAATCCCAGCTACTTGGGAGTCTGAGGCAAGAGAATCGCTTGAACCCAGGAGGCGGAGGAGCCTAGGGGATAGAATGAGACTCTGTCCCCGAAAAAAAAGATAATAAAATAAAACTTAGACACTGGCTGCGTGAAGTGGCGCATGCCTGAAATCCCAGCACTTTTGGAGGCCGAGGTAGGGCCTTGAGCCCAGGAGTTTGAGACCAGCCTGGGCAACATAGTGAGACCCTGCCTCTACCAAAGAGAAGAAATTAGCTAGGTGTGGTAGTGCGCCTGTAGTCTCAGCTACTCGGGAGGCTGAGGTGGGAGGATAACGTGAGCCTGAGAGGTTAAGGCTTCAGTAAGCTGTGATCACGCCACTACACTCCAGCTTGGTGGGTGACAGAGCAAGACCCTGTCTCAAAAACAACAACTTGGACATTTGTGTCACTTATGACTTGCTGATAACCTCTCTGAGCATGTTTCTTTTTTTTGTTTGTTTGTTTGTTTGTTTCCCAGGCTGGAGTACAGTGGCGCAATCTCTCAGCTCACTGAAACCTCCGCCTCCCAGGTTGAAGTGATTCTCTTGCCTCAGTCTCCTGAGTAGCTGGGATTACAGGCACGCACCACCACACCCGGCTAATTTTTATATTTTTAGTAGAGATGGGGTTTCTCTATGTTGAGGCTGATCTTGAACTCCTGACCTCAGGTGATTCACCTGCCTCGGCCTCCCAAAATGCTGGGATTACAGGCGTGAGCCACCGCGCCCAGCCTTTTTTTTTTTTTTTAATTTTTTTTTTTTTTTTTTTTTGTGACGGAGTCTCGCTCTGTCGCCCAGGCTGGAGTGCAGTGGTGTGATCTTGGCTTACTGCAAGCTCCACCTCCCAGGTTCAAGCCATTCTCCTGCCTCAGCCTCCCGAGTAGCTGGGACTACAGGAGCCTGCCACCACGCCCGGCTATTTTTTTGTATTTTTAGTAGAGATGGGGTTTCACCATGTTAGCCAGGATGGTCTCGATCTCCTGACCTTGCGATCCGCCCGCCTCGGCCTCCCAAAGTGCTGGGATTACAGGCGTGAGCCACTGCACCTGGCTTGTTGTTGTTGTTGTTGTTTTGTTTTGTTTTTGAGATGGAGTCTCACTCTGTCACCCGGGCTGGAGTGCAGTGGCGCAATCTCGGCTCACTGCAACCTCCGCCTCCTGGGTTCAAGCGATTCTCCTGCCTCAGCCTCCCAAGTAGCTGGGATTACAGGCACACACCACCACACCCAGCTAATTTTTGTATTTTTAGTAGAGATGGAGTTTCACCATGTTGGTTGGCCAGGACGGTCTTGATCTCTTGACCTTGTGATCCGCCCTCCTTGGCCTCCCAAAGTGCTGGGATTACAGGTGTCAGCCACTGCACCCAGCAGGGACCAGGCCCTTTGTAAGTGGGAGCTGGAGAGAATGGGATGTTAACATCTATAGAGCACCTACTGTGTGTCAGAGGCTTTGTCTGTGTTTTACAAATTTTAATCCCTGCAATCCTGGAAGGGGGACATTATCCCCACTTACACAGAGGACACAGTGCTGGGGGAGGTTAAAGTACTGCAGAATCATGACTATAGGATTGTAAAGCCGGGCTGTTTTCCACCATCCAGATAGGCGGCTTTGAGAGGGGATTGTGGGGCACACTTTTGGTTATGGGAAGTGTGGGGGGTGGGGTTTAGTGCTGACTGAAACCCCCTTCCCCACTGCGGAGGCCCTTTCTCTGCCTTAGAACCTACCTTTCCCCGGTAGGGGGCGTAGGAAGGCACAAGCCTCTCTGTTTTGGATCCTGAAGGTTGGAGAGAAAGAAAGATAAGGGGCCTGGGCCAGATCTCGGTCCTGTCCTGGAAGCTGTGGATACAATCTGTTCACACCATCCCCACCCCCAAATCTGCCCGCTGTAGCCCACAAGAGTTTGCAGAACTCAGCGGGCACCCTCCCCCCCATCTCCAGACAGACACTGAAGGAACAAAGTGTAAAAGCCACAGTTCTTATTCTTAATTTGTTTCAATTTGTGGATGGAAGCAAAGAAGTTGCAAGCCATCAAAAGAGGAGCTAAGGATGGGAGCCCCGAGAGGGTGGCTGCATATTTGCTTCATATGCCTAGAGACTGGAGAACGCCCGAGGGTCTGGGTGAGCCCAGAAAGGAGGAGGTTGTGTCCTTCCCTTCTTCCTATGCTCTGCCACTTCCTCCCTGATGCAGTCTGTGCATCTTCCCAGCTTCCCACTCTTTCCCTGGACAATAGGAGGGACAGCCCAGGCGGAGGGACAGCCCAGGCAGAGAGAGTGCTGCCTAGCAATGCCTTTTTTGGAGTCTGAAATGTAGAGTCAGCCAAAAGACCATGACATAGAGTTTTTAATGAAAATGGGGTCCCTCCTTTTATCTCCCAGCAAGGATAATGCACAGATTCCCTCTGGACAAGATCCCAGCATGGACAGGGGGAGGGGACTCAGGGAAGGAAGCCCATCTTCCTTTTAGGTGGGTCAGGGCCGAGGTATTGTGTCTACCCCATGCCAAGGGATGTGTTGCCTATGGGGCTGTACCAGTGCAGGCCCGACTGCCCTTTGAGGGAGTAGTGTCTGTGGGAAGAGGAAGTGGTTCCCATCTCTAAGTCATTTTGGGGCAGTGCCTTCTTCCTCCTCCTCCTCTGTGGAGTTGGGGCACAGCCAAGGATTGGGCCTCCCAGGGTAGATTGGAGGCCACTCAACATTTGGCTGTCAGAAATAGAGGTGCCCCCCTCCCCATTTTGACTTCTGGGTTGCTGGAAACCTCAACCAGCATACAGACCAAGGGCCCTCCACGGGCAGGAGTCTTAAAGCACAGTTCTTCCTGTGTGGCCTTGGGCAGGTCACCCAAGCTCTCTCCAAATGTTTCCTCCTCCTTAACGCAACTTCTGGCTGGACACAGTGGCTCACACCTGTAATCCCAGCACTTTAGGAAGCCAAGGTGGGAGGATTGCTTGAGCATAGGAGTTCGAGACCACCCTTGGGCAACAGCAAAACCCCATCTCTACAGAATATACAAAAATTAGCTGGGCATGCTGGTGTGCGCCTGTAATCCCAGCTACTTGGGAGGCTGAGGCATGAGAATTGCTTGAATCTGGGAGATGGAGGTTGCAGTGGGCCGAGATCACACCACTGCACTCTAGCCTGGGTGACAGAATGAGACTCTGTCTCAAATAAATAAATAAAAATTAAAAAAAAAAAGCAAAACTTCTAATCTCTCCCTGGCTGGGCGAGTTGCTGTGAGGCCATGGTTGCCCGCTTCCTGCTGCGGCCCTTGGTGAGTTTCACATACCCAGCAAGGCTGTGATAGGGGCAGGGTAGAGCTGGGCACTGTCTTGCGGGATGACACCACTCTGTACTGGGACCCAGTGTCCACCTGGCACTGGGCCTCATGATTTCCTGTTTGTTGTCCCCTCCAGATGGGGTTGGGGAAAGGAGGGGGCCCTGCCTGGCACAAGTGGGGGCCAGTTCAGCCCACACCTGCTGAGGGCTTACTAAATGCAAAGCCCTGAGAAGGAGCTGAGGGAGGGATAAGGCTGGGCAGGATGGGGCCCCAGGCCTGCAGACAGCTGCCACCGGAGGCCCCCAACCCCAGCTGCGGGCCAGAGCCTTCTTTGTTTCCCACTTCTCCCACTGCCCCAGGACACTGTGTTCTGCTCTGACCTGCCCCATGACCTTGCTGTTGCCCAGAACGGGCCTCTTGCCCTAACTTCTCTCCAGCTCCGGAAATCCTATCTATCCTTCAAGGAACATCTTGAATACCGCCTCTTCCCAGAAATCTTCACAGATGTTCCCCCTTCCTTGCCACACTCTGCCTCCCTACTTAGAATGCTTCTGCGTCCTTATTTATTTTTTAACAACACTCATCTCTCTACCATGAAGTTGCTTCTCCCGTTCCTGCCATGAGCTGTAACCATTTGGGACATCTTTTCCTGACCACAAGGTCTTTGATGGCAGGAACAGAGTCTTAAGTCCCTTAGCACCTTGCAGCTGTGAGCACAGGGCCTTGCTCCATCATTTGAAAGATACCGAGGGCATAGAAGCACTCCGTCCTCTTCCCCATTAGTCTCATCCACTGTCAAGATTTGCATACCTGCCCCCAGATCCCAGCGTTCCATCTGCAGCCCTGACTGCACTTCAGGGCCCCACACCCACCTGTCCAGCAGCCTAGTGCACTTCTCTGCTTTGCAGTCTCAGAAACTTCATTGATGCATAAGCCACACACAAGTCTCTTTGCTACCTCTTTTCCCATACCCCCCTACCCCACCCCCGCATGTTGATTGTACCACCTTTAAAATATCTATTGAATCCACCTTCCTCTGTCCATCAGCACTTCTAGTTTCCTAGGCCAAGTCGCCCTTGTCTGCTGCCTGGACTGCTGCAGTAGCTTTTACCTGGTCTCTCTTGCCCTCCTATAATCCATTCTTCACACAACTGCTGGAAAGATCTTTTCACACTGTAAATCTGATCTTACCTTTCCTTTGCTTGGAACCTTTCTATGGCTTTTCCTTGCATTTAGGATAAAATCCAAAAGCCTTATTGAGGCCTATAAGCCCCCCTGGTCTGGCCTGAGCCCACCTCTGCAGCCTGATCTTATGTACCTTTTCCTTTTGAATTTTATGCTCCATCATCCTAGCCTTCTGCCAGTTCCTTCGTGAACGCACCAACTTCTGTAACCCCAGGGCCTTTGCACAGACTCACCCTTTAACTGGAACTACACTCCTTTCTATTCTTTGCCCGATTAACTTATAAACTTTCTCTTACGGTAGGTCTGTTTTATTTGAGTTCTTCCCTAATTTAGTTCAACCTAAATTAGGTACCTATGTTAATTCTCCAGAGCATAATACCATTTATCTCAGTTTGCAATTGTGTGTGTATATAGTGATTATTTGCCTAATGGCTGTTGCTCCCTAAGGTCTACAAGGGCACGTTCCCCAGGGTGTCCACATGGAAAGTGCTCAGAAAAATACCTTGAATCAGCCTAGCTTGGTAAGAACATGGGCTTTGGCAGCAGGAAGTTCAAATACCTGCTCTACTCTTTATTATTAGTAATGTGATCTTGGACAACCCACATAGCCTTGCTAAGACCTGTTTTATTTGTAAAACTTATCTCTTGGAGTTGCTGTGAGGATAAAATGACAACATATATAAAGAGCCAGGCTTCTTCTAGAAGAATATCCTTGGGTAGCATGTACATTTCCACCCTTCCTTTTAGAGAGTGGGGGTAATAGGATACCCGCTCCTCCAGGGGTATCCCCTCTTTCTAGGGACCTGCCCAAGCTAGGTCTTTCTTCCAGTGGAACGTGCATCCCGAGGGTTTCCAGGATGAAGCAGTCAACTGTAAGGCGACAGCTCCTCCTCTTCTCTCTCCAGAGCTGGACAGTGCACCAGGGGCCGATACTGGTTCCCCAGCTGGGAGACACCCTGGGCGGGGCTTTGCTCGCCGGAAGCACGCAGAGCGTGGGGAGGACAGCCCTCTCTGCTTGTGTTTGTGCCAACAGCACCCGCGCTGCCGTGTCGGGTTCCGGCGGCCGTAGTCACACATGATGTCACAGACAATGACACAAACCGGTGTCTCATTCCGACACAGCGTCCGAGCTGCACAATGTCACACCCGGGTGCCGAACACTTGGCCCCGCGCGCCCCGGCCCTACGCCTCCCGCCGCCGCTCTCCGCGTCTCCAGGGGAGGTGGCCCGGTCCGGCCGGGCAGGGGGCTGGCGGGCGAGCCCCGCGGGCGGGCTGGCGAGCGGGTGATGTCACGGGCAGCGGTGGGTGGGTCACTCGGAGGTGAGGCGCCGCCAGGCGAGTTCAGCGAGAGTTCAGCCGCATTGCATTAGGCAAATGAGGCCCGGCTTGGGTGGGGGTGTGTGTTAAGGGGAGGACACCAGGACCACCCCCCTCTTCCCCGCCCCACCACCTCCTCCACCACGGCATCGCTCGGCCAGGGACTGACCAAACCTTGGGGGAGCCTGGGAGCCGGAACTGGGACAAGGGAAGACGCCCGTCTCTCTTCCGTCCTTGTCCCCCCCGCAGCCCCCTCCTCTCCCTGTACTCGGCCTCCCTCTGTACTCTGTGTACTCCTCCTCTGGTACCTTTCCTCCTTCTCCTCTCCTCTCCTCCCCCTTCCCAGGCTGCCCCTACTCGTCCGTCCACATGCCGCCTCTCCCTCTAGGTTCCCTGCGTTTCTCCCACTGCAGCCGGACCCGCTGGGAATGGGTTAAGCCAGGGGCGGTGCCTGGACGGGGCGGGGCGGAGGCAAGGGGGTGGTACCCGGAGGGGAGGGGGCGCGTAGAGCTGGGGTGGGGGGGCCGTGGCGCGCACCACCGGAGACCGAGCGAGCCGCCGGCTGCCCCTGGCCTGGCGGAGGTGGAACCGCGCGAGATCCCCACCCCCACCCGGAATCCTCGCCACGGAGAATCCCTGGAGAAGCCCCGGATCCCCGGCGGGGAGGAGGAAGTGCTCGTTGACTCCCGCCCCGCGCTGATCCCGCCCCCGGCCTGCGGAGTTGGGGAGCCGCGGTACTCTGCCTCGGACGCCACGAGACTCTAGACGGGAGTCCCCTCGAGGTGAAGCCGCTGAGTTCCCGGGCCCCGCCAGGCTTCTCTGGGAGAGCCGAGGGACCCCCGCTCCCAGCACACACAACTTCCCAGCTTTTCACCGGGACTGGCGGAGCGGCCGGCGGACTTAGACGCGGGGACTTAAGGGCAGGGGGCGCCCCCCTGCCTGGGTCACCAGTCGGGGCGAGGGGACGTCTCCTCGCCCCCAGCTGCTCTGCTCGGATGGCGCCGCCGGCTGAGTGACGGGGGCGGCGCACAGGACTTCCCAGCTCGGACCTCTTGCCTTCGAGGGGGAAGATGTACGAGAGTGTAGAAGTGGGGGGTCCCACCCCTAACCCCTTCCTAGTGGTGGATTTTTATAACCAGAACCGGGCCTGTTTGCTCCCAGAGAAGGGGCTCCCCGCCCCGGGTCCGTACTCCACCCCGCTCCGGACTCCGCTTTGGAATGGCTCAAACCACTGTACGTACCGGCCTCTCCCTCTGCTGTTGTAGGGGGTGGGAGTGGGCGGTAGGGCTTCCACTACTACTCGGGCGTGAGAGTCCCGGGGTGCAGTGGAGGTCTTGTCTCTACCTTTCACTTAATCCATGTTGCCCTTGCTGGACAACTGAACCCTGCCCTCAGCACTCCTCTCCCCAGTAACCCTGAGTGCAATTTCTGTTAGGTTAGGGCTGAGAAACTTTGAGGGTTCCTTCTTTCAAGAAACATTCCTTCATCTCTTGTTTCACTTCTTCCGGGAGAAATGAAGCCCAAGCCCCTTGCCCCCAGTATATGTCTTCTTGCCTGGAATCCAGTAGCTTCACAGCAGGCTGGAGGGTGGGGTAAAGGTCCTGTCTGTGTGGGTTTGTCTGCTCCCGGGGGAGGGGCCGTCTCCCCAGATCCCACACTTGCCAAAGCCCGAGGGAGAGCCCCTTCCTGAGCGACAGCTGCTGCCCCCAGCCCTTGCTCTTGCGTCATTAGAGTGGGTGTCAGGGGAGCCCTCGATATCTTTGGTATTGACAGTGGGGTGTGGCAGAAAGGGGCAACTTCATCAGACACCCGTCTGCCACCCAAACCTTCCATCTTGGCAAGGGGCACTGGGTCCTTGTGGGAGTGTTGTCCTGGCTCCAGACACTTGGCTGTCATCTTTGAGGCTTTCATCCCCAGGAGTGGAGGGGAGAAGCTGCTCTGGTGAGAAGAATCCTTCTCCCCCTAATCCTAATCCGGTTTGTTCTCTGGGGGATGAGTTTGTTTTTGTGGGTCTGGGGCTGCTCTGGAAATGAGGACTGCATCCCTTCCCAGCTCCACCACCAAGTCCTTTTGTTACCCTGACTTCACTTGGGGATAGGGCCAGGTCCTGGGCTGTCCCTTCCTAAGAGGGGCACTGATGAGAATCCTAGCATCCTGGCAGCCTGGTCACCTGCTCTTCTTGTTGCCCCCTGCCTGGGTGCAAGCTCCTCTGGGAGGAAGGGCTCTGTGCACACGCAGGAGCTCGGCGCACCAGGGTGTACACCTGGGCATTTTCCTGCACAGCTGTGAGGCAGTGTACACTGGGTGGGCGGGAGCAGGCGCAAGGTGGGTTATTGTTAGATGGCTCAGGTTTCTTCCCCTACTGGGCTTTGGGCTCTTCACTGGAGGGGAAGCTCTTCCCTGGAGGATCTCCCACCTTCCCAGACCTGCTGCCTCCCTCCTGCCTGCCAGGGAGGAGGGGTGGAGTGGGTCTCGAGGGGGCCTGGCAGATTGGAGAAGGTTGAAGGGCAAAGGACTTACCCCATCTGAAGCCCCTCTTGCTGGGAGAAGAGAGACCTGAGATGGACAGACAGCCCACCTCTGCCCTCCCAGAGCCACCTCTATCCCAGCTTTTCCTATTGTCCTGCCCCCGACCTTTGCCACCAGGGCTGAATCTGCTGTGTGGCTGTAGACACAGGAGGGAGGGTATCGACCGACCGTTGACTTTGGAGGAAGAGAGAGTGAGGGGATGACTCTAGGACCCTTTTTCTCATTCTCCCAGTGCTGAAGCAAGACCCCCCTCGCCTAGGGGGATAGTTGGGGCAGGGCTGCCAGAGTCACCCCTTCCACTGCCTTGGCCACCTTCTCCAGAGGGCTGGAGAGAAGCTGGGATCTGAGACCTTGGGCTCCAGCCCTTGTCTCTTCATAGCCCATGGGAATAGCTCAGCTCTTCCTGGCCCAGAACTGGAGGGGGAGGAGGATCACAGAGAGTAGGACAGGCAGTGTACTGGTGAGCCTTGCTTCCCCTAAACCACTGGACATGGGGAAGTGGAGACCTGTCCCCACACCCATGCTGGGGTGGGGTAGTAGACCTAGAGACCTGGGCTCCCAGTTCCCATAGTCTGAGCGTGCGTGTGCATGTAAGTCAGTGAGGTCTCAGTGGACTCGGGTCCTGAGGCTGTGGGGCTGGCAGTGATGGGGGTCTGGGGGCTCGCCTTGAAGCACAGGAAGGACCTGGAGTCTGAGGGTGGCAACTAGACTCCATCTAGAATATGTGGGGCCAACGCCCCCACCTTGGAAGGGACCCCTTGGGTGTGTGGAAGCCCTCTGGTGACTGGAGCCGCCTCCAGCCCCCTCTTGGGGAATGCTCCACTCCCCCTTCACTGCCACTGAAGGTGGGAAGAGCAGGTTGGCTGTGGGAGGAGGTGGCCTCCTGGGTTCTGCAGGGCCCTAGGGACCTTGCCTCCCTCCCCAGAGCCCCCATTTCGGTGCATTAGAGGACAAGGGGGCTGTACAGGATGTGGCTCCCCATCTGTCTCCCACCAATCTCCGCCACTCACACCTCCGCCCGCTCCCAGACGTCCAAGAATGTGAAGCACGTGGATGCCCGTAGTTGGGGGAGGGGGAGATGCTTATCAGGCGGCCGCTGGGCTAGGGGCCTTCTTCCGCTGCTGCGGTACAACCAGAGCGACCCCCGCCTCTCCCCAGGAGGAGGAAGGGCGGTACAGAGGGCCCTACGCCCCCTCCCCAACCGTCCCCAGGGGCTGCGAGGGGAGCTGCGGAGGAGCGGGCGCCAGCTGGATTGGGAGGGGAGCCGCTGGCCGGGGGCCCGGCTGATTTCCTGCTGATCTCCTCCAGGAAACCGGCCCCTTGTGCGGGCCTGCGAACGGCTCGGGGGCGTGGGGAATCCGGAGTGGAGCGCTCTGCGCCGCCCGCCCTACCAGAATGGGGAGCGAGGGAGGGGCACCCTGGCAGCGTCGGCGGGAGGGGACGCCTGGCTTCCTAGGTCAGTTCCAGTCCTCTGTGGGGCGCTGGAACTTTGAGCTGAGAAGGTGTGGTTCTCTAGCCTGAGTCCTTCTGCAGGAAGAGGAGAGATTGGTGGGCTGGGCCTCTGGGGAGGGAGGTCAGCAGGGAGGGGCCAGGCCCGGGCAATCCCTCCCGCGTTGGTGTCCCTCCCGGCCCCACCTGTGTGTGCAGGGAGTTATGGCTGTGTCCTAACTCTTGCAGAGGTTGTGAGGATTCCGGAGTCCCCCACACCTCCGCCTTGATCCTTGTACCTCACCTCCTTGGGTTGCTGGCTGGAGGCCTGGGGAGGTGGGGCCTCGAGCTCTGGGCTCAAAGGGCAGAGCAGGGAAACCTCAGAGCTGGGTTACCTGGGTGACAGGTGGGGATGTGCTGGAGGGTAGGGGGCAGGCTATGTTACAGCCTCCAAGGCAGCCAAGCTGCCATTGGGTAGGCTAAAAGGAGGCCTTGCCTAGCCTAAACTGTAGTCCTCGCCTCTGGTCATCTCTCCCATTCTGCCAAAAAATGATTTTAAAAAGCACATTCTTTCAGTTCCCTAAACACCCTCTGTTGGACTTTGCTTTAGCTCCACGTTTTTATGGGTCTTTACCCTCTGGTCTGTCCCAGGCCTTGGAGCTGTTTACCCCTCATTCTGGTATCCCCCATGACTCCCCATACCCTAGCTCCCCTCCTGACACCCCACTTTGTGCCCCAAACCTCCCTCAGTCCTTTCTCCCTTTCCAGTCTGTTTCATTTTAGAAGTGGGGCCTTGGGAGAGGCGGGGCCCAGGGCGAACGGTGGATTTGGAGGGGTGGGGAGGTCGGTGCCTTCTTCCTCTGCTGGTTGGAGTGCTCACCGAGATTCTAGACCATGGTCCCCCCAGCCCTCCACATACCCCCTTGCCCTTGATCCCCCTCCCCCCGCCAGTCTGGATTGTCTATTGTTACTGCTTTTACGTCTTGGAAAAAGTTAGCACAACAAAGGGCTCCTTTGTGGCTCACCCCTTCTGCCTCCTGGCCTCACCCAGGCCCCCCAACCCCACCCCCCCCAGCAGCTGTTCTCAGGCCTCTCAGCCTGTCTGATTTGCTTGTCTGGCCTGGGGAGAATGAGGTGGGAGAAAACCAGGCCAGGGCAGTTGGTGTTGGGGTGAGGAGCAGACGGGGGTGGGGGGCGGGCAGGGGGAGACGGGGGAGGTCAGGAGAGAATCTACTGGGCTGGGGGCAGTGTGGGCATCAACTGTCCCATTGCCGCAGGCTGGTCTCGGGGCAGGGAAGGGGATGAGGGGCCATAGCAGTGCTGGTCAGCCAGGCTGGCCAGGAAGTGGTGCCCAGGTACTACTAAGAGCCAGGAAAGCCCTGCCAAGGTTGTTGGCCTAGTTCCCTGTCATCAGCCGCCTGGTAGCTCCCCGTGTGTCTGCAGGTAAGGGCAGAGGGTGGTAGCACAGAGTCCAGAGTCAGCCCGTGGTGTTCCCATGCTTCCTTCCCCTGTGCCCCAACTTTAGGGCCATGTGATTTGGGGCCATGTGACTCATGTCTGTAAAGTGCCTGGGCCAGGCGCTGTGGGCACCTTTAAATGCCAGCCAGTCTCATGTGCTGGAGTTTGGGGTAGGGCTCGGTAGGACTGTGGGATATGGGAGGAGGCAGGGATCTGTCTACTTGGGGAGGCATCCTCATCCATCCTTGGCCCTGGACAAGTGGACTTGAACGTGGTAGGCCTCAGGACGATGCTGGGTGGCCCCTTGGGAATCTGGGATTGCCTCAGTCATAGTTCTTATCTTGCACCCAACACCCTTAGCTGCCCAGGCTTTGGACACAGATAGCCGCTGCCCAACCCAGCCCTGTTCTGCCTACAGTGATGGGTGGCATGGAGCCAGGCACTGGGGAGGATTTGGCCAGTGAGGGCTGCCCCTGCTGTCTGGGTCACCCCTCCTGGCTGCCCTCTTGGAGCTGAATAACAGAAGGGGAGGGGTACTAACCCGGACATGGTATTGAGGCCAGACAGACAGAGCATTGATGGGAACAGACCCCCTTTGTCATGCCGTCTCTCCCCAGATGGGGGGTACCCAGAATGATGGGATTCTGGGGCCCCGGGGACTCTTCTCCCTATCTATCCCTAGCCTATCTTAGGGAGACACCTCCTGCTCTGCCCAGCATTTGTGACTCTTGTTTGCACCCCCTGCCTTGGGTCCCTGGCCCTGGGATTGTTTGGGTGGAGGAGGGGCTGTGGCTGCTGGCAGAATGGGGTGGAGGGGGGAGCGGAAGCAGAGGGGGCGGGGGAGTGGCCAGCTTTGAATATCCTGTTGACCCCAGTTTCCTCTGCCCCCGGCTTGTGTCCTCTTCCCTCCCTCCTCTTCAAGCCTTAACTCCTTCCTAACTCGGGGGAGAACGGGGCCAGGCCGCCCAGGGGCAAGAGCTTTAGAATCAGGGTGACCCCTACCCCTACTCCCCAAGCACAGTCACGGCACACATACAAATCTGATGGTTTATCATTGTCTCTTTGTGGTTTTGAAGGTGTGGGTCCTAGGAATCCGGAGGAGTGATGGGGCGCTGGAGGCTTCATTGGCAGCCTCCTTCCTTGAGTCTGGCTGGGGAGTCCCAGTTTTCTTAAGACTTGAATCCTGCCAGCAGTGGTGAGGCTGGGAGAGGCTCTTAGGAGGGACTGTGAGGCAGGGTGGAGCTTGGCACTAAGGATGGCGGCCTAGGTCTCTAACTGCCCCTCCCCTCTTCTCTCTCTAGCCATTGAGACCCAGAGCAGCAGTTCTGAAGAGATAGTGCCCAGCCCTCCCTCGCCGCCCCCTCTACCCCGCATCTACAAGCCTTGCTTTGTCTGTCAGGACAAGTCCTCAGGCTACCACTATGGGGTCAGCGCCTGTGAGGGCTGCAAGGTGAGTTGAAGGGGTCATTGGGAAGGACAGCTTGATGAGGTCAGTGGGATATCCCCACTTCCGTGTCCTGGGAGTGTGCAGTTGGGGTGGGGGGTGTCCCTGAAGTTGCTGCTGTTGTTTTTCTGTGGAAGTTGGCAACAAGCAGGGACACCTACCATAGGTCCTGCCCCATAAATGTGCAGGGCTCCCTCAAACCAGAGGTCCCCTCCTGCCTCAGCTCCTTTCCCTTTCTCCATCCTCCAGCTGGCAGGGCGTATGCCTGCTCTGCCACCGCTGCCCAGGTTGCCATGGTGAGCTGGCTGCCGACTGGCTCTTGGCTGGGGACCCAGGAGGCCTCCCTCGGCGGCCCTGCCTGAACCTCACCATGGCAGCCTGGCGGGAGGCAGTTAGGAGCAGGCACCATGCCTTGGCTTCCCCTTCAGGTGCCCGGGCTGTGGGCTCCCCGGTGTCTGGCTGAATTTCCCCACCCTCACGTTAGGTGCCAGGGTGCAGGTGTACCCGGTCCTTAGCAGCCCTGTGCCCAGCTTCTCCTCCTTTCCCCGGGGCCTGAGCCTCTGTGTGCGTTTCTTCCTCCAGATACTGGGGCTCAGAATCTGCACAGGTTTGGGCCTTGCAGCTCTGGGCTGCTCTTCAGCCTGGAGTAGCTATCCCCAGGTGTGGGACAGAGGTCAAGGGCAAAGCGCAAGGCCTCAGGCTGTGTGTCTGCCTGTCCTGTCTGGTTGTTCCTGGTCTCTTCTTCATCTGTCCGCCTGTCTCTCTGGTCAGCCTGTATGTGGAGCCCCTGGCCAGCCTGGGTTTGTCTGTGATGGGCCGGCGCACGCCTGTCTCGGTGAACTCGCATCTTTCTGCCTTGCTCCTGAGTGCATGTGTGTGTTCGCCTCCATTTCTCTGGCCAGCCCGTGTATCTGCCTCCTGGCCTCTTCGGGCTTGTCTTCTCTTCCTGTGTTCTGAGTTCAGGGCTGTGGGTTCCAGATTCCTGGCTGTTTCCCAGTTAGCCCCATGTCTTCCTCTTTCTGACTCACCAGCAGCCCTGAGGTCCTTTCCCTGGAAGGGAGGAGTCAGATGTGTGCTGTGGGTTGGGGGAAGACTCCTGCCCATCCTGCGGCGTTGAGGCGGGTACTGGGATTCTCCTGAGGAGGATCCTTTTAGGTGAATCATTCTCCCCAGCTTTTCTGGCCTGCTCAGGTAGGCGATGGGCAAAGGCTTGGGGGTAGCAGCTGGCCTGGCCCTCCTCCCCTAGACTGAGACTATAGCCAGGCACTGCTGCCACTGTGGGTGTGGACAACCTGACTCCCTCCCCTCCATACCCAGGGCTTCTTCCGCCGCAGCATCCAGAAGAACATGGTGTACACGTGTCACCGGGACAAGAACTGCATCATCAACAAGGTGACCCGGAACCGCTGCCAGTACTGCCGACTGCAGAAGTGCTTCGAAGTGGGCATGTCCAAGGAGTGTGAGTGCCATGGGGCAAGAGCCGAGTCCCGCCTGAGCTGGGGCCTCAGGTGCTCCTAAAGACCAAGGGAGCAGGGCTCTGTGGATGTGTGTGCACATGCATGAACATGCATGCCGTGGTGTGCGGGCTCACGGTTGAGGATGGTTTGTGTGTAGCTGCAAGGACCTGTTTGCGAAGTCTGGCTGGCTGTGTGTGCATGGGCAGGTCTGTGCTGCAGGACCGTGTGTGTGTAACCGTTCCTGTTTCTGCGCGTCTGGCTGTGTGTGCTTTTGCGCATGTGTGCATGTGTGCTTGCTCCAGGATGGCTTTCTTCCAGGCCTTGCTTGGCTTTGGGGTGGGGCTCAGAGGCATAGTTAGTCCCTTCTGATTGTGAGTCTTAGGGGAGGGGCTTGAATTCTGAGGGGTGCTTGGCTGGACTTAATGTGTGTATGGGGGGGTGGAGGGGCTGGCACAAGGATCCAGAAGCCATTGTCTAGTTAAGCCTGGGATCCAGAGTTGGAAGAAAGAATTGGGACTTCTCAGATCCCAGAGGAAACGGGGTTTCCACTTTGGGCTCAGCTGAGGCCTGATGGAGGGAGGGAAGGAAAGGCTGGACAGGGAGACCCTCTTGTGTTGAATCATGGGTGTTGCCCTGGTGACCGGTGATTGATGATGTCAGAGATAAATGACGCTGACAGACGCCTCCTTGTCTGCGTGGCCGTTGCCATGGAGCCTGAGCCTTGGGGGATGGGATGGGGGAGGGGGCTGCAGGACCCCCAGCCCTTTGTGGGGAGGGTAGTGGGGAGGGGGCACGGGTGAGATGGTTCTGACTGTTGGACGAAGAGCCCCGGACAGGAAAGGAGGGGACTGGAGTGTCCTGCCACAGGAGGCTGGGGTGCCTTGTCCTGAGCCAGGAAGTGATGGGTCCTGCTGCAAGAGTGGGTGACAACTCGAACCCTTCGCTTAAGGGCTGTCACCTCCTCTTCCCTCTGTTTGTGCCACCTTCTGCTCTTTTCATGGCAGAAGGACCAGGGTGGGGACCCCGTCTCCCTCCCACCAACTCCCCTTCTCCCTCCCACCGCCAACTCCCCCTCTCCCGGCTGCTCTGTGCCCCGGAGCTGAGCAGCTGCCATTTCAATAGAATTAAAGCTTCCGAATGATAAACGTCTTGTCACAGCTGCAATTTTCTCTTCCCAAATTATCCCCCCACTCTCCCTCTCCCTCTCCCTTCTCTCCCCTGCACTTTATTGAATTTGCAGAATCGACATGAGTGATCTCCAAATTATGCCAGCTACCCCCTCCTCGCTACCCCCTCCCTGAGCCCCTCCCCTACCCTCCTTTCCTCCCGCGTCAGCAGCCACCACCACCAGCCCTGTGAGTGATTGTGTGTCTGGGATAATCGGCTGGTAACGACCCCATCGCTTCTTTAAAGCCGAGTGGTGTGTGTGGCTCAGCGCCCCTGGTGATTTGTCAGCTCCCCAGCTAATGGGCCAAGAGATTCTCCGTGCCGGGGCCCCCACTCTCAGGCTGGGGAGCCCTACTCCCCACTTGCCCCAGGAGCTGCTCAGAGCCAGTCCCAAGGGACCCCCAGGGAGACTGCAGCTGGGAGGGCTGGGTGAGTGGAGGTGGGAGAAGGACCTTCCTGGGGAAAGAGGAGGCAGAGCACCGAGGAGGGAGACACCGGCGCCTGGAGTGTGAGCTGGAGTAGACGCGTGGGGGACAGCACTCGGCTGGCTGCGGGGGTGTATGTGCAGGGCCACAGCTGTGCTCATAGGGCTTCTGGGGCCGAACTTGCTGTGTGGGTTGGGTGGGCATGGAGGGCTGGAGTGCGTGGCGATGCCTTGCCTGCCTGTGAATGCGTGCTGTGTGCGCGTGCTTACAAGCCGGGGTGACCTCCTCAGCAGCTGGCGGCTCTCTGTCAGGCTGGGGGTGGACGAGGCCCTGAGCAGCCTGCAGCTGCCCTCTAACCCCCTCTGCCCTCCACAGCTGTGAGAAATGACCGAAACAAGAAGAAGAAGGAGGTGCCCAAGCCCGAGTGCTCCGAGAGCTACACGCTGACGCCGGAGGTGGGGGAGCTCATTGAGAAGGTGCGCAAAGCGCACCAGGAAACCTTCCCTGCCCTCTGCCAGCTGGGCAAATACACTACGGTATGGCTTTCCCCTGGCCTACAGGGAGGGATGTGCCCTGGGCCGCAGGGCCAGGACGGGCCCCTCTCAGACACCCCTTCTTGTGCCAGGCATTTCCTCCTCCCCCCTGGCTGGATCTCTGCGTCCTTCCCTTTCCCTCTCTTCTCCCTCCCGCTGCCGCCTCTTCCTAAGGAGCTCCCAGGAAGTGAAGGCTAGGTAGAGGGCAGGCCTGTGGGGGCTGGAGCCAGGCCGAGAAGGGGTGCCATAGAGAAGAAGGCCCTCACTCTCCCTCCTCCCCCAGAACAACAGCTCAGAACAACGTGTCTCTCTGGACATTGACCTCTGGGACAAGTTCAGTGAACTCTCCACCAAGTGCATCATTAAGACTGTGGAGTTCGCCAAGCAGCTGCCCGGCTTCACCACCCTCACCATCGCCGACCAGATCACCCTCCTCAAGGCTGCCTGCCTGGACATCCTGGTGAGGGTCTGCACTCTGTCCCCCAGGCACTGCCCCTGTGTCCTGGGTAGATGGCCTTCCAGCCAGACAGCCACCCTCCTACATGTCTGTCTGCAGTCAACCTGTCCAAATGCCCACCGTCCAAATGTCAGCCGTTCCTCTCCCCATGTGTCCACCTGTCCACTCATCTCCCCGTCCACTCAGCCACCTAGCAGCCAGATGTGCAGGCGCTCACCTGTTCACCCACACACATATCCATCCATCCATCCATCTATCCATCCACTCATCCATCCATCCATCCATCCATCCATCCATCCATCCATCCATCCATCCATCCAGTTAGCCAGCAATAAAGATTCACCTAGGAGCCAGGCGCAGTGGCTCATACCTGTAATCCCAGCACTTTGGGAGACCAAGTGAGGCAGGAGGATCGCTTGAGGCTGGAAGTTCAAGACCACCCTGGGCAACATAGTGAGACCTTGTTTCTGCAAAAAATTAGAAAGATTCACCTAGGATCCTCTGGCCAGTGTTCGAACTGGGTGTCAGGAACCCAGCGGTGAACGTGCCACCATCCCCACTCTTGAAAACCTTCCATGTGAGGCAAGAGATAAGTCAACAGAGGTTGCAAAACTGTGATCAATGCTACCTGGAGATGGGGGGAGGGCTCATGACTGCTTGGACCTGAAGGATGGTGTCTCAGAGGAGGTGACATCTAGGGGTTTGTAGAGGGGGAGGTGAGAGGGTAACCCTAACTCAGGAGCAGGAAGTGAAAGACTTGCTGCTGTGAGGCCATGCTGAGCTCAGGGGACTGCCGGGCACTCAGTGAGCCCGAGGGTGGACTGGGCTGGAGGCTGGATGCAGGGGGTGGGGGCAGGAAGAGGCAGTGGGAACTGCCAAAGCCTAGGCTGGAGGGAGCGCTCTCCTTCGGGCTCTCCCTGACAAGGGCTCAGTCCACCTGTTCCCTTTTGGTCACCTCCAGGGTGGGGAACCTGGGATTTGACGAGGCTATCATTTCCTTTTATTTTTTTCTTTTTTGAGACGGAGTTTCACTCTTGTCACCCAGGCTGGAGTGCAGTAGTACGATCTCGGCTCACTGCAGCCTGCCACCGCTGCCTTAAGCGATTCTCCTGCCTCAGCCTCCTGAGTAGCTGGGATTACAGGTGCCCGCCACCACGCCCAGCTAATTTTTGTATTTTTAGTAGAGACGGGGTTTCACCATGTTGGCCAGGCCGGTCTCAAACTCCTGACCTCAGGTGATCCACCCATCTCGGCCTCCCAAAGTGTTGGGATTACAGGTGTGAGCCATGGCGCCTGGCAGACTGTCATTTCCCTGTGGATGCCTCTGAATGTTGAGGCGGGTGATGAGTGGGAGGTTTAGATTGTGCTGCCTCCTGGAGCTCTCATCCCCACGCCCTGGATGCAGGAGGCGCGGTCTGGGTTCCTGCAACATAGTTCAAGCCAATACACGTTTACTGAGCACCTGTTGTGTTGTGTGCCCCATCCTGGGAGCTGTAGGCAGCAGCCCAGTGTTCCTAAATTCTCTGCATGGAGGCAGGATGACCTGGACCTGCACTGTCCAGTACAGTAGCTGCTTGCCACATGTGACTATTTAAATTTAAATTAATTAAAATTAAACTCAATTCAGTTCCTCAATTGCATTAGCCACATTTCAAGTACTCAATAGACGCATGTGGCTGGTGGCTGAGGTATTGGATGGTGCAGACATAGAACCTTTCCATCATTGTAGAAAATTCTATCAGACAGTGTTGCTCTGGCCGCCTGCCAGGTGGTCCTCTGGGAGTGCTGGTGCCGAGTGCTCGGAGTAGGTGGGGTTCAGTCCCTGAACCTGTGCATCCTCTGCACCCAGATCCTGCGGATCTGCACGCGGTACACACCCGAGCAGGACACCATGACCTTCTCGGACGGGCTGACCCTGAACCGGACCCAGATGCACAATGCTGGCTTCGGCCCCCTCACCGACCTGGTCTTTGCCTTCGCCAACCAGCTGCTGCCCCTGGAGATGGATGATGCGGAGACGGGGCTGCTCAGCGCCATCTGCCTCATCTGCGGAGGTGGGCAGGGGCCTGGGTCTAGGGGCTGGGCCTGGGGCAGGAGTGTAGCCCCGGAGTCTTCCAGGGAACTCTTTCAGGCCGCCTCTTGTCAGGCCTCTCTAGAGGGCAGGATCTGGTCTGCAGCTACACAGCAAGGGGGCCGTGTTCGGCCTGGACTCCTGTTCCTGATTTCTGGGCAACACCCCTTCTAGGGAGGTTGAGTGAGGGTTTGAGGGTCGGACCTCCCAGGGTCACTTCCTGGCTGATGCATGAGCCTGAGCAGGTTGCTGAACTTCTCTGGGCCTCCATTTCTGTACAGTGGGGGCAGGAACGGTCTCTAGCTCATGAAGTTGATGGGAGGATTACGGTGGTAACACCCTGTGCAGGTGCCAGAGCGAGCTCCAGTGCATGTTAGTTGCTATTTTATTGTGATTTCTGCCATTTCATCTGGTTTCCAGAATAACAGGTGGGAGTGGGAGCCTGCCTGGGAACCCTCTCCCTGCTTGGGGATGACACTGCCCATTTGGGGTCCCATCCCATGAACTGGGCTCATAGGGAGGGTTTGGGGCACCCCGCCACCCTCAGCCCGTTGCTCCCTTTTAAGGGGCTCTGTCCCCTGCAGCAGCAGAGACCCCGTGCCCTGCCCTGTGTGGGGAGGCGCCTGCTAGCTGTCCTCTTCCATGGCCTGGGCAGGCACGCCCCCCGGTGGCCGAGGCTGGAGGTGCAGCTGTGTTCCCAGCTGCTCAGGGGGTGGCTCTGCTTCCTCAGACCGCCAGGACCTGGAGCAGCCTGACCGTGTGGACATGCTGCAGGAGCCGCTGCTGGAGGCGCTAAAGGTCTACGTGCGAAAGCGGAGGCCCAGCCGCCCCCACATGTTCCCCAAGATGCTGATGAAGATCACTGACCTGCGAAGCATCAGCGCCAAGGGTGAGGCTCCCAGACCTGGAGGGGTGCCGGCCCTCAACGCCTGGCCCAGGCCCCCACATCCAAGCCAGCACCCTGTGTCTTTGTGCCAGGAGAATACGACACCTGTCCCCATCTGTGTCTAGGCCGAGGTCCCCTAGTGACTCCACTGTCCCCTAGTGACCTGCCTGTGTCACTCACCTTGTGGTAGTTCAGATCATGGTTCTGGAACCAGACACATGGGTGTGTGTCCTTGTGCGGGTCACTTAACAGCTCCGAGCTGCAGTTTCCCTTCTGAGGGGCAGGGATAACGATAGTGTTGACAGAGGAGTCAGGATAATCCCTAGCGCACAGCATAGAGGAAGGCAGGACTTGGTGTCCAGCCCAGGCTGGCAGTCTGGCCCTGGAACCAGAGTTCAGGACCACTTTGCCCCATTGCCACCAGCCTCTGGACTTGGGGGCTAAGAGAGCTGGCTCGTGTCAAAGAACTGAATCCCAAGAAAGAGCTGGTATCAGTAGTATTGATCTTCCCACCTGGAGCCAGGCTTGCTGGGGCCGGGGGTGGGAGGGCTGGCCCGGTGTGCTGACCTCTGCCCCTCCTTTCCCGCAGGGGCTGAGCGGGTGATCACGCTGAAGATGGAGATCCCGGGCTCCATGCCGCCTCTCATCCAGGAAATGCTGGAGAACTCAGAGGGCCTGGACACTCTGAGCGGACAGCCGGGGGGCGGGGGGCGGGACGGGGGTGGCCTGGCCCCCCCGCCAGGCAGCTGTAGCCCCAGCCTCAGCCCCAGCTCCAACAGAAGCAGCCCGGCCACCCACTCCCCGTGACCGCCCGCGCCACATGGACACAACCCTCGCCCTCCGCCCCGGCTTTTCTCTGCCTTTCTACCGACCATGTGACCCCTGCCAGCCCTGCCCCACCTGTCCTCCTGGGCAGCACTGGGGACCTTCCCTGGGGGACAGGGAGGGAGGAGGCAGCAACTCCTTGGACAGAGGCCTGGGCCCTCAGTGGACTGCCCGCTCCCACAGCCTGGGCTGGCGTCAGAGGCCGAGGCCGGGAACTGAGTGAGGCCCTGGTCCCGGGTCTCAGGATGGGTCCCCTGGGGGGCTCGTGTTCATCAGGACACCCCTCTGCCCAGCTCACCACATCTTCATCACCAGCAAACGCCAGGACTTGGCTCCCCCATCCTCAGAACTCACAAGCCATTGCTCCCCAGCTGGGGAACCTCAGCCTCCCCCCTGCCTTGGTTGGTGACAGAGGGGGTGGGACAGGGGCGGGGGGTTCCCCCTGTACATACCCTGCCGTACCAACCCCAGGTATTAATTCTCGCTGGTTTTGTTTTTATTTTAATTTTTTTGGTTTTGATTTTTTTTAATAAGAATTTTCATTTTAAGCACATTTATACTGAAGGAATTTGTGCTGTGTATTGGGGGGAGCTGGATCCAGAGCTGGAGGGGGTGGGTCCGGGGGAGGGAGTGGCTCGGAAGGGGCCCCCACTCTCCTTTTGTGTCCCTGTGCCCCCCAGTTCTCCTCCTCAGCCTTTTCCTCCTCAGTTTTCTCTTTAAAACTGTGAAGTACTAACTTTCCAAGGCCTGCCTTCCCCTCCCTCGCGCTGGAGAAGCTGCCAGCCCCTTTCTCCTTCTGCCTGACCACTGGGTGTGGACGGTGTGGGGTAGCCCTGGAAGGACAGGCTCCTGGCCTTGGCAGTTGCCTGCACCACCATGAGCCATGGAGCAGGGCCGAGCAGGGGCCCCGGGACACACGGAGTTTTCACAGACCCAGCTCCTCGGCAGAGCTGCCTCCCGTCAGGGCCCACATCATCCAGGCCTCCCAGCCCCCACTGTGAAGGGGCTGGCCAGGGGCTTGAGCTGCCCCCACCCCCAGCCTCAGCCACCAGCACCCCCACAGGGCCCCGAGACACACCCACACACATGCGTGCGCGCACACAGACACACACACACACACACACACTGGACAGTAGATGGGCCGACACACACTTGGCCTGAGTTCCTCCATTTCCCTGGCCTGCCCCCCACCTCCCCTCTGTCCCATCCCCGTGCCCCCTCCTTACCCCGCAGGACGGGCCTACAGGGGGTCTCCCCTCACCCCTGCACCCCTGGCTGGGGGAGCCGGCTCTGCCCTGACCTCCACCAGGGGTTGGGGCCCTTCCCCTGGAGTCCGTGGGTGCACCTGTTACTGTTGGGCTTTCCACTGAGATCTACTGGATAAAGAATAAAGTTCTATTTATTCTACACATGCCTCCAGCCTTGCTGCCTCCACCCCCTCTTCTTGGTGTCTGGGCTAGGGGCTCAGAATGGGTTTCCTCATGTACTCTGGGCCTGTGATGGTCAGGAATGAGCACTGGGGCCAAGGGGCTGGCCAGGGCACCCTTCCAAGCTGCCTTCTGAGGCTTACCTTGTGCTGGGGTCTTTGGAGATGCTGAGAAGGAGAAGGTCCTGCCCCTTGGGAAGCCCTCAGTCTGGAGATCCCCACTGCCCATGTCAAGGAGCCCCAGTCTGGAAGTGGGAGGGGAGAGGAGAAAAGCTGCCCCCACCTTCAGGGAACCCCCAGTCTGAGGGAGGAAGCCGGACCCACCCCTAGACATTCCTGGTCCTTAGGAAGCCAGAGGCTGGGTCCAGCCTTGACCATCACAGCAGCAATGACAGATGGCACAGGAGCTGGGGTCAGGGACTCATATAAACCTAACAAGAGGCCAGACACAGTGGTTCACGCCTGTAATTCCAGCACTTTGGGAGGCTGTGGGCAGATAACCTGAGGTCAGGAGTTCAAAACCAGCCTGGCCAACATGGTGAAACGCCGTCTCTACTAAAAATACAAAAAAAATTAGCTGGGCGTGGTGGTGGGCGCCTGTAATCCCAGCTATTCGGGAGGCTGAGGCAGAACCTGGGAGGCGGAGGTTGCAGTGAGCCGAGATCGCGCCACTGCACTCCAGCCTGGGCGACAGAGCAGGATTCCATCTCAAAAAAGAGAAAGAAAGGGGAGAGAGAGAGAGAAGAAGAAGAGAAGAGAGAGGAGAGAAAAAAAAGGAAAGAAGAAAGAAAAGAAAGAAGAAGAAAGAAAGGAAGGAAGAAGAAAAAGAAGAAAAGAAAGAAACCTAACAAGAACACAGGATTGGGATGGAAGCTTAGGAGCCCAGCCCTCTGTCTCCAAGTGGTGTGGGGGTCTGGAGGGGGTGGGGTAAGGCAAAGGGTTCCTTCTGCTAGGGGTTGCCTGCCATTTCTACGTTAACCACTAGGTGGCGGCAGCGCCTTGCTTCACTCAACGGCCGCGGCGGGCTGGAGGCAACCGTGTGGACCGAGGGGCTTTTCCTCCAGTAAATATTTTCTAACATCTTTGAGTCTGAAATGATATTTAACATACTGTACCTGTACAAGTGATTTCACAAATCAATATGTTGTCACAACCGTATCATAAAGGATAAATTGAGGGGCAGTGCTATGTGTTTCAATACATTACTGCTTGCCCCTCTTTTGAATGACTACATTTAAATTTAAAAGAAGAAGGTTGGAAGCCACTCTGTACAAGAAGCCCAGGAACATTAAAGAGCATGCTTGGATGTTGGGATAAAAATCGACATGTTTGATTTATAATAAAATTATGCGCCGGGCGCGGTGGCTCAAGCCTGTAATCCCAGCACTTTGGGAGGCCGAGACGGGCGGATGAGATCGAGACCATCCTGGCTAACCCCGTGAAACCCCGTCTCTACTAAAAAAAATAACAAAAAACTAGCCGGGCGATGTGGCGGACGCCTGTAGTCCCAGCTACTCGGGAGGCTGAGGCAGGAGAATGGCGTGAACCCGGGAGGCGGAGCTTGCAGTGAGCTGAGATCCGGCCACTGCACTCCAGCCTGGGCGACAGAGCAAGACTCCATCTCAAAAAAAAAAAAAAAAAAAAAAAAAAAAAAAAAAAAAAAAAATTATGCAAAAAAAGCCCAAACAAACAAAAAGTCCAAAAAAAGCCCAAAACATTACATGTAATGTTTTACATGTAAAATGAGATTTGGGCCCAGGTTTTTCACTTATGCCAATGTCCAGTTGGACATTCTAAAGTTGTGTCTGAGGCCAGGTGCAGTGGCTCACGCCTGTAATCCTAGCACTTTGGGAGGCAGAGGCTGGCGGATCACTTGAGTCCTGCAGTTCAAGACCAGCCTGGGCAACATGATGAAACCCTGTCTCTACAAAAAAAAATACAAAAATTAGCCTAGCCTGGTAGCGTGCATCTGTGGTCCCAGCTACTTAGGCGGGCTCAAGTGGTAGAGTTGCTGGATCCCTGGAGGTTGAGGCTGCCGTGATAACACCACTGCAGTCTAGTCTGGGCAACAGACGGAGACCTGTCTCAAAAAATAAAAATAAAAATAAAAAAGTTGTGCCTGGTAGGTTTTTATTTTGAGAGGATATCTTGACGTCCATAGCCCTTGCCTACTAAATGCCAATGGGGTCCCCCATCATTGTGAAAACAAAGCAGTGGCCCCCACATTTACAAAGTGCCCGTTGGGGTAGTGCCTTTGCTGTTGGGAACCCCTCTTGGGGTTGTTCTCAGTGCTCGACAGTTCACTGTTGTCGAGCAGAGTTGCTCAGCGTCAGCACCAATATGAAGGTCTGAGCCAGGGTGTGGGGGCTGTCCTGTGCATTGCAGGATGCTAAGCAACATCTCCAACCTTCCGCCCGTGAAACCCTACTGGTGCTTCTCCCCCACCCCAGCTGTAACAACCAAATATGTCTCCAGACATTGCTAAGTGTCCCCTTAGGGGACAAAATCACCCCCAGTTGAGATCCACTGCTGTGGAGTATGGTCCTCCAGGGCTGATGCGCTTTGCACTGAGCCAGGGCCCATCCTCCGCAGGGAGACTGAGCCAGAGGAAGGTGACCGGATGTCCCCTGGGCAGGGCTGCAACAGGCTTGACAGGCCTATGGGAGTGCAGGGCAGAGGCCCTGAACCAGGCCTGGGGCAGGGCTCAGACGCCTTCCAGGAAGAAGTGGCCCCTCTCAGCTAAGTCTCTTTTTAATTTAATTTAATTTATTTTGAGACGGAGTCTCCCGCTGTAGCCCAGGCTGGAGTGCAGGGGCACTATCTCGGCTGATTGCTAAATCTCTAGAGGAAAGAATTGGCTAGGTGGGTGCAGATTTGGAAGAATGAAAAAAAGAATGTAAACTATCTCCTTAATACTTTTTAATATCGATGAGGCATTAAGATGAAAATGTTTTGGATATACTAGGTTAAAGAAAATACATGACTAAAATTAATTTCACTTGTTTCCTTTTACGTTTTTAATGTGGCTAATGAAAAAGTTGAAACTACATACATGGCTCACACGCTATTTCCATTGGATGATGCCGATCTTGAACATCACTTGACACATAGTAGGTACTCTACAAATATTTGTTGAATGAATACATCTGGAAAACAGCGGCACAGCCCCATCTGAGTTTGTGTGGAGGGGTCTGGGCTGTGGACACAGAACTGTCATCAGAGAGATGGTGCTCATCATAGCATGGATAGTGTTCGGGCATGGCAATGGTGTAGGCCTGGGGACACCTTCAGTTTCTCATCCAACACATATTTGCTGAGCACATACTACGTGCCATGGAAGGGAAGAGAGCAATGCCATCCTGCAGGAGAAGTGCTCTCCCTAGGTAAGCAACAGGCATCCAGCTCTGTCTTGGGTTGGGGGCTACCAGGGAAGCCCTTTCCTTGAAAGTGTCTGTTTTCTTCCCAAGTGACAACAAAAGGTGGAGGGGCATTACCTAGGGGAGGAGAAGGCTGCAGGAAGCAGCGGCTGCTCTGGGCAAAGGAACAGCACGTTCAAACGCTTGGCAGCAAGCAGGCCTGGTGCTTGTTAGAACAGAAAATTCCCTATGGTTCTGAGCACACCCGGAAGCCGGTGCTGTGGGGTCGGAGGCCTGACGGGGGCAGGGCTTCAGAAGGAAGCCTTGTGAGGCGCTGGACTCACCTGAGGGCAGGGGTGCTGCCCCCAGCCCCGGGTTTAAGTGGCGGGGGAGCTATTCAGAAAGACCTCCCACTGCTGTGCGGGCACAGGAGGAGAGCTGAGAATGATGCCAGGAACTCAGAAGGACAGGGTGGGGTGATGGCGGGGAACGCACAGCCTGGTCGGCAGGATGCGGTGAGGCCCTCAAGGTGCAGTCCGATGATGGCCCCTGGATTTATCAGTTAGGTCCTGGGTGATCTCATGGAGAGCAGCCCACAGGCTGGTGAAGGTGGAGGGCAGACGGGAGGGGAGACACAGGAGGGGGATGCGCTGCATAGGCAGCGGTTCTTCCAATGCCCGCAAGGAAGAAGGGGGTGGTCCGAAGGGAAGGCTGGGCCCGTAGCGCGTGTTTTGGGAGCTTTCTCCTGCGGACAGAAGAGACTTTCCCGTTTATAGCCTGGGGGAGAAGTAGCGGCGGGGAGGATGCAGATGGAGGAGGGAGGCATAACACATGTCTGGGTTGCCCTCTGGCCCGCCGCCCACCCCCACCCCCACCCCACCTCCATGAAAGGGCCCAGCCCCCGCCTCGCTACAAGGCGGACAGTGAGGATGTGCTCATAGGCTCCCGAGGATTGAGGCCTGCCCTGGGAAGGGGAGCCTCTCCTCCTCTTCCCTCGCTGGGCGGGGTCTCTTGGGAGGAGAACAGACCTTCTGTGATGCCCTGGCAGGTGGGCTCGGTTAGGGTGGTGGGGAGGGAGCCATTGTGTCTGCTGCTGACATCGGACCCTGGCCACCCCCGCAGTGCATACCAGAGATCACACACACACGCGTGCACACACGGAGGTCACGCAGGATGTACACATGCACACATAGTGCACAAGGATGTTTCCGTGTACAGGTGTGCACACGCAGCCCAAGCAGGATGCACATGTGCGTGTGTGCACAACGCACTCACACAAAGCTCACAAGGATGTGAGCACACAGCTCTCACGGGGCATACATGTGTCTATGTGCATGTGCACACAGCTCACCCGGAAGGGTTACGTGTGTGTGCACAAGTGGGCCTCACGCAGGGTGTACACATGCGCGCACATGCACAGTGTTCACACAGGGTGTACAGGTGCGCGTGCACACAGCTCGCAGTGCTTATGTGTCCGTGTGTGCACATTCACAGAGAGCCCACACGGGGACCACTCTCTGAACACAGAGAGTGCCTGAGAATGCTGGCATCACAGTTGTTTTTGTCCCCAGTAAAACAACCACCCTCCACCTTCCGCTCTGCTCTCCCCCTCCGGTCCACTCTCTTTCAGGGCCCTGGTCTCCTTCCTTTCCACCTGGGTGGTGGCATCCAGGACCCGCCTGAGTTCATTCTCCGCCCCCAGCTCGGCCTGCCCCAGGTGCTGCCGGCATCCACTGGGAGGCAGTACGAGGCAAGTGCGATGCCGACCGCGGGCCGTCCCCACAGCGCGTCTCCTGCCAGGGCAAGTCCCACCACAGCTCTGGTGGAAGCAGCTTCCGGTTTCTGCGGTGCGGGCGGCGGAGGTGGCGGGGTCCGGCCCTCGCCGTCCAGCCCGCGCGAGGCGGGGCCCGCCCCTAGATGGCCAGGTCTCGGCGGCCGGTGGCCGGTGACGCCTTGCCGCGGCCGCTGCCGCCCTCGCGGTGGCTGGCTGGCGCCCGGTGCGCATAGGCGGGCGGGGCGCAGGACTCGGGGCCGGGGTGCCGGGAGGGCAGGGTCGGCAGCGGAGGTGGCGGCGGCGGCGGGAGCAGCTTCTGCGCCTCTTCGTGTGCACGGTTGCAGCGGTTGTCACGCTCCCCGGCGCGCGGGCGGCCCTTCCAGAGCAGGTGGCCCAGCTCAGCTACGCTGAGCAGCGCCGACAGCAGCCCCACCGCGAAGTAGAAGAGCACGAAGACGGTCTTCTCGGTGGGCCGGCTCACGAAGCAGTCGACCGTGTGCGGGCAGGGCGGGCCGGCGCACGCGAAGTGCGGGACCACGCGGAAGCCGTAGAGCAGCGCCTGGCCGCCCAAGAAGGTCAGCTCGGCCAGCAGGCGCAGCGCCACGCTCAGCAGGTAGCAGCGGCGCGCGCGGCGGGCGCGCAGAGCGCATGGCGCGCACTGGGCCTCGGGCAGTCCAGGGGCGCACTGCGCCGCCGCCTGAGCGCCGCCAGCCTCCTTGCCGGCCCGGTGCATGGAGTAGACGACGAACAGCACCGGGGGCGCCGAGAGCAGCAGGATGTGGAAGAGCCAGAAGCGGTAGTGGGAGACCGGGAAGGCGCGATCGTAGCAGGTCTGGCGACAGCCCGGCTGCAGCGTGTTGCATACGAACTCCTCTTGCTCGTCCTCGAACACTGCGCCGCCCACCGTGGCCAGCACCAGGATGCGGAAGATCAGCATGACCACCAGCCAGAGGCGGCCCACGAGCGGCGACTGCAGCTGCACGGCGTCCAGCAGCGAGCCCAGGAACGCCCACTCCCCCATGGCGCTGGGGACGCGGGGCGGGGAGTCAGGGGATGGGGCAGGTCAGAGACCCCCGCCCCTTCCGCGCCCATCGGGGTGGGGTCCGTTGGGCCTTCTCTGACTTCAGGGTGAGTAGTGGGGTGGGAGAGGCCCGGGTTTAACGATGAGACCAGTGTGAAAGGGAGGGCCACGGGAGGGCCACGGGAGGGCCCGAGGGGAGCAGGCGACGCTCAGCTATAGGTTCCCTTCTCTTTGGGGCCGATGGGTGCTGGAGAGGAGCCCCCATTTGCATTTGAGCCGCACCCCCTGTGCCGTCTCCGTTCGACCCTGGGATCCTCCAGATCCCAGATTCTTAGGAAGGACCTTGGAGATCAGCTGGGCCAGCCCCTGACTTGCCTTGTGGAAGCGGAAATCCAGCGGTGCCCTTAGCTGTCAAGGATGCTGTGGGAAGAGTGGAGCCTCGAACCCCGAGCCTCCAGACCCAATTTGGTGCCCCTGGGAGGAGTGGGAGTGGCGGAGGCAGCGAGACCACTCCTTTCTCGGCCGACCATTTCTCTCGCCATTTTCACTGCAGTGAACTCCTCTCAGTGTGGGGGGCTGGTACAGAGGCAACCCCACTTTCGTAACTGTCACAGGGTCCCTTGTCAGAGGTGTCCCTGCTCTCCTACCCCAGCGTGGTGGGAATGCGGAGCCAGGCCTCTCCCTCCTCCCCAGCCTCCTGTGCCTCCAGCCTCCATATCTCCTGAGACCCTCTCCACCCCACACTCACACAGGTCCCCACACACCTCTGGTGCCCCTAAACCATCACCCAACCCCACTCACCCTGGGGCCGGGACTGGGGTGTCAGAGCTGAGCCAGGGACCTTGGGAGGTGGCTGGGACCGGCGCCTCCTTCTCCCTCTTTCATTTTCCCTTTCGGATTTGGCCAGGATGGAGGACAGGACAGGATGGCTGAGAGGGGTTAGCGCTCCCCCTTCTCTTAAAGGAACAGGGTGACCCTGCTGACTGGCTCCGCCCTTGGGAACAGGCACGGGCCACGCCCCTTGCTGGGCTCTGTGGCCCTCACTTTTTGGCCCCCCACCCCATAGCTAAATTTCCATCTGGTAATGGGGGAGGGGGTTAACCAGAGCCACATCCTTTACCAAGGAAGCTGGGGGGTTCCTAGAAGCCCTTCCCAGAGAGACCCTCAGCCTGGAGCCTCGATCCCCTATGCACTAACCATGCCCTGTGAAGATGGTCTTTGGGGACAGAGGGAGGTTTGCTGCTGGAGTTTAAGGGGCAGCAAACATCTAACAGCTTCTGGTTCCAGCTCTGCCACCGCTCACCTTGGACAAGTCATTTGGAGGTACTGAGCCAGGCTTTCCTGCCTTGTCAACCAAGGTGGCCAGACCAGCTGACCCCCAAGTTTCCTTCCAGCTCTACATCTTTTTTGGAACGGGGTCTCTCTAAGTAGCCCAGGTTGATCTTAAACTCCTGGCTTCAAGTGATCCTCACACTTCAGACTCCTGAGTAACTGGGATTCTCTACTTCTGAATATTGAGTTCCCAACCATATGACAGAGAACCAAAAAAACCCTCATGCCTGAAAAAAAAAAAAAAAAAAAAATCCCATATGGAAAACCATTAAAATATCCCAAGTGCCTGGCTTTGGTAGTTAAATAAAATCTTTGGTTTCCTTCCCACTTTTCTGTAATTTCCAACTTTACTATAATGAACATGTTATTTATTTATTTATTTATTTTATTTGTTTTTTTTGAGACGGCGTCTCGCTCTGTCGCCCAGGCTGGAGTGCAGTGGCACGATCTTGGCTGAATGCAACCTCTGCCTCCCAGGTTCAAGCGATTCTCCTGCCTCAGCCTCCCCAGTAGCTGGGATTACAGGCGTGTGCCACCACGCCTGGCTAATTTTTGTATTTTTAGTAGAGATGGGGTTTCGCCATGTTGGCCGGGCTGATCTCGAACTGCTGGCCTTGTGATCCACCCACCTCAGCCTCCCAAAGTGCTGGGATTACAGGCATGAGCCACCACACCCAGCCTAACATGTTATTTTATTATTTATTTATTTATTTTTTGAGACAGAGTTTTGCTCTTGTTGCCAGGCTGTAGTGCAATGGCGCGATCTTGGCTCACCGCAACCTCCGCCTCCCGGGTTCTAGCAATTCTCCTGCCTCAGCCTCCCCAGTAGCTGGGATTATAGGCATGCGCCACCATGCCCAGCTAATTTTGTATTTTCAGTAGAGACAGGATTTCTCCATGTTGGTCACGTTGGTCTTGAACTCCTGACCTCAGGTGATCCACCTGCCTCGGCCTCCCAAAGTGCTGGGGTTACAGGCGTGAGTCACTACGCCCGGCCTCATGTTATTTTATAATGTGAAAAATAGAAGACTTCTTCCCCCCCCGGAGGCTCTGAATTGAGAGTTCCCTCCTACTGCCCTGGGTGGCAGGGGAAGCTCTTTTATAGAGAAAGGAGTAAGGGTGACCGATGGCAATCTGAGTGGTCAGGGAGGGATTGCTCCCAGGCTGAGATGTTTGGTTGTCTGCTCTGCCTTCCTAGGGGTCCGCCTGAGTGCATAGCACAACCTTCCTCACCTCTGCACCTGCCAGGCCAGGCCCTGTGTGGAGCCCCGTTAGCTCCATATGCCAACGAGCTCATTCAATTCTCTGTCAATAGTGGCAGGAGGGCACTATTTACACCAGGGGAAACTGAGACTCAGAGGGTCTAAGCCACTTGCACGCTGTCGCGCAGCTGGTAAATAGCAGATCCAGCCTACACGAGGCCCAACTGGTTCTTGAGCCCAAGCTCTTGAGCCTTTCGTGGAATTGTCCTCCATCCAGCCTGGCTGGGCTTCCCAGGTGGTATCCCAGGGCCTGATAGTCCCCAGCAGGGGTTGCCTCTGTGCCAGCCTTGTGTGGGGCTGGTGGGTGTAGGCACTGGAGGGAGGTCATGCCTGTCCCTCTGAGGAAGGGTAGCAGGACTCGCCTCCTTGGCCACAGTTCCTCTCCCTGTCAGCCATGGGTGCCTGTGTGGTTTTCCATCTGCTGACGCAGACTCCCAGGCCCACTTTCAGGAAGGGGAAGGCATATACCCTTCACCCTCCACTCCCTCTGGCTCAGGGGCCCAGCTGTGCTGGAAAAACTCTAGGTGAACTCCTGCTTGCGTGGGGAACCCTCCTGCCCTCGTGCAGGCTTCCCTTGGGAGTGGGCCTGGGTGGGGGACGTTGCCCTGGAGAAAGTCCAAGGGAAAAAGCAATGCTGGGGCCCCAGATTCTGAAAACAGGATGTGGGTTGGGGGCGCTGCTGACCTCCCCCTCCCGACCTCCCTCTGCCCCCGGCAAAGCTGCTACCCGCCCCCTGCCCCCAGCCACAGGGGCTCAGGGTCACACCTCATCTCCCTCGACTGTCCAGGAATGGTCCCCACCCTGTCCTATCCTGTGGCTCCTGCTGGGTGAGGCCATTGGCGCCACCTGGAAAAAGCCCATCAGACCGTGTCTGCCTGCGGGAGTGGAAAGCAGCTGAGGTGGTGGGCCAGGGTGGGGCAGGAAGTGGAAAGCCCACAGTCCCCCTGTGCTGTCTGCAGCCTGTGATGCCACAGGGCCAGGCCCAGAGACTACAACCTCAGGCCCCGTCGTCCTTCCCTGATAGCACCATCCAGCCTGAGTGTTGCTGACCCTGCTTAGATCTGGCAGCTGGCGGCCCCATTCTTGGCCATGCTTAAAGACAGGGGCCGGGCTGAGAGGCCAATCCTGCCTCGCTCCAGTCTGTTCCAGACACCTCTCCCTGGCCATCGGATTGTGGGGCCACTGCTCATGTCAGACACACATGGGTGCACGTATGTGTTTGTACCCAGTAACTATCAGCCATGGTCAACCCCATCATGTTCTTCAATATCGCCACTGACGGCGAGCCCTTGGGCCGTGTCGCCTTCGAGCTTTTGCAGACAAGTTTCCAAAGACAGCAGAACACTTTCATGCTCTGAGCACTGGAGATAAAGGGTTTGGTTATAAGGGTTCCTGCTTTCACAGAATTATTCCAGGGTTTATGGGTCAGGGTGGTGGCTTCACACGCCATAATGACACTGGTGGCAAGTTCATCTGCAGAGAGAAATGGGATGAGGAGAACTTCTTCCTGAAGCGTACAGTCCTGGCATCTCGTCCCTGGCAAATGCTGGACCCAACACAAACAGTTCCCAGTTTTTCATCTGCACTGCCAAGACTGAGTGGTTGGATGGCAAGCGTGTAGTCTTTGGCAAGGTGAAAGAAGGCATGAATATTGCGGAGGCCATGGAGCGCTTTGGGTCCAGGAATGGCAAGACCAGCAAGATTAGCATTGCTGACTGTGGACAGCTCTCATGAGTTTGACTTGTGTTTTATCTTAACCACCAGCCCATTCCTTCTGTAGCTCAGGAGAGCACCCTCCACCCCATTTGCTCACAGTATCCTAGAATATTTGTGCTCTCACTCAGTTCCCTTTGGGTTCCATGTTTTCCTTGTTCCTTTCCATGCCTAGCTGGATTGCAGAATTAAGCTTATGAATATGAAATAAAAACTAACTAACTAAATAAAAATAAATTATTTGTAAGGCCCGGCATGGTGGCTTATGCCTGTAATCCCAGCACTTTGGGAGGCCGAGGCAGGCAGATCACCTGAGGTCAGCAGTTCGAGACCAGCCTGGCCAACATGGTGAAACCCCATCTCTACTAAAAAATACAAAAATTAGCTGGGCATGGTGGCACATGCTTGTAATCCCAGCTACTCAGGAGAATCGCTTGAACTCAGGAGGTGGAGGTTGCAGTGAGCTGAGATTGTGCCACTGCACGCCAACCTGGGTGACAGAGGGAGACTCTATCTCAAAAAAAAAAAAATTATATATATATATATATATGTGTGTGTATATATATATATTTGTAGAGATGAGGGTCTTGCCATGTTGCCCAGGCTGGCCTGGGACTCCTGGGCTCAATTGATCCGCTAGCCTTGGCCTCCCAAAGTGCTGGGATCACAAGCATGAGCCACCACACCTGGCCACTTATTTATTTTTATTGTTATTTATTTATTCTATTTACTGACATCCTTGAGCCATCACACTGCTGTTTTGTCTCCTGAGCCCTCCTAACATTTTAAAAAGTCCTTACAGAAATGCTGTCTTTTCGTGAGGCTTTCCCCAGCTGCCCTAGCAGAAATTTACCCCTTTCTTTCCTGTCCCTTCTCAGCTTTATTTCCTTTGTACTGACCACTACATTACTATACACACACACACACACACACATATATTTTTTGAGACACACACACACACACACACATATATATTTTTTGAGACACACACACACACACACATATATTTTTTGAGACGGAGTCTCGCTCTGTCACCCAAGCTGGAGTGCAACCTCCGCCTCCCAGGTTCAAGCAGTTCTGCCTCAGCCTCCCAAGTAGCTGGGATTACAGGCGCCCACCACCATGCCCGGCGTATTTTTGTATTTTTAGTAGTGACGGGGTTTCACCGTGTTGGCCAGGCTGATCTCGAGCTCCTGACCTCAAATAATCCACCCACCTCAGCCTCCCAAAGTGCTGGGATTACAGGTGTGAGCCACCGCACCCTGCCAATGTTATCTTTTTCTTATGTATCCTGTTTAGCGTCCATGTCTCCCATTAGCACAGGCGATCCCCACGGAAGGGATTTTTGGTCCTTTGCTTACTGTCCCATCCCCAGCACCTAGAATGGTTGGGGGCACACAGTGGATGCTCAGTAGATGTTTGTTGGGTGGATGAATGAATGAAGTGGGTGGAACTTTCTGCCCTAAGGTGGTAAGAATGCTGTGTATCTCAGGTCTCAACTGCTGGCTCTGGTCTCCTCTAGGGCTGTGGGCATTTAAGTGGCCAATCCAGTCTCAGGTCAGCAATCAGAATTTCCCATCCTCGACAGAAATAAGAACTCAAAAATGGATTCATGTTAAACATCTGCCTCCAGCTCTGCTGGCCTTGGGTCTGTGCCTGGGTGGGAGAGGGAAGGGGTGGAGGGTGGCAGAGTTGGCTCTTCTTGGTCCCTTCTAGTCCTTCTGCACACTCCCCAACCTGCCTGCAGCTTCTGACCCTTTATATTCTTCCTAGTGCCCTGAAAACCCTACAGACCAGATGACTTCTGCCGCCCCAGGGTGGCCCCACCTGCTGGCTCTTGCCTTGGAGCTTGCCTTTGGCTCCCTACAGACTCCTGGAGCCCTGCATTTTCAACACCTGGGACCCGCCTTCACTTCTAGCCTTCGCTCCCTCCTTTGGCTCCATGATTATTTAATATTAGGTTTGGGGCCGGGTGAGGTGGCTCACGCCTGTAATCTCAGCACTTTGGGAGGCTGAGGTGGGCGGATCACGAGGTCAGGAGATTGAGACCATCCTGGCTAACACATGGTAAAACCCAGTCTCTACTAAAAATACAAAAAATTAGCCGGGCGTGGTGGCGGGCACCTGTAGTCTTAGCTATTTGGGAGGCGAGGCAGGAGAATGGCATGAACCCGGGAGGCAGAGGTTGCAGTGAGCCGAGATTGCGCCACTGCACTCCAGTCTGGACCACAGAGTGAGACTCTATCTTTAAAAAAAAAATAAAATAAAATAAATGGCCGGGCGCAGTGGCTCACGCCTGTAATCCCAGCACTTTGGGAGGCCGAGGCGGGCGGATCACAAGGTCAGGAGATCGAGACCATCCTGGATAACTGGTGAAACCCCGTCTCTACTAAAAATACAAAAAAATTAGCCAGGCGCGGTGGCGGGCGCCTGTAGTCCCA